CAGAATGGCTCAGATAGGATAAAGATACTGTGTTTGGAGCTATTGTCTGTCTCTGCATTCAGAGAGAGCAAGTGAAAAAACACCATCAAAGATGTACATGAAGGTCAGGATCTCATTTTGCACAGAAGCCTAAGGGTTCCTACGACAGTTTTTTGTCTCTAATAAGAAAAAAGCGTACATTTTATAAGAGCTCTGGAGCAAGTTTCAAGGCTTACAGCATATTTGGAGGAGAATCTATCTTTTAAAGAGAAAGTATGGACTTTTTATCCCTGATGATTTCAAATTATTTTGACAACAGATGTCTTCAGAATTACCAAAAGAGACGGAAGATCCACTTCAGAGGAATTCCACCAAACCGCTCCTCTCAAATGCACTCAACAACCAAAAATTCAGGAAATGCATTGTCTTATGAAGAACATCACTCAGACATTGCCAGTGGGTGCAAAAGGGAAGAGGTTTAGCTCCAGATACTTTCAGATGACCCAGAAAACAGTTAGAGCCCAATTCTGTACTTCTGATTGGCTTACATCTTTACTGGATTACAGAAAAATTCACAGTGAAGTGTTTGGAAGCAATCATGGTAGTTTGAAGAAGGCTACTTATTATGTATACTGAACTATGAAGATGCTTAAATTCACATCTGGTGGTGATATATCTATATGTATCTCAGATTTCCAGTAAGGGAGCAGATTAGTTTATTCTCAGGAGCTAGTCTAAGATTGCAGAACCAACTCCTTAAGAGTTAAGAACAGCCACAGTCGTCACCACTTTCCAGTCCAAGTTCAAGGCAAGCTTCTTTGACCTTGCCTTCACTAATAAAAATATATAGCACAATATGTATAACAATATATTGTATACTATAATGTATTTTTTTGTTAGTCCACAAGCAACTTTTCCATTAGGAAAAGGAAGGGAAAAAGAAGGAAAAAACGGTATATGACTGCCACTAGTCATACTGCTTAATGCAGTCTTGGAAAGCACCTAGGCACCATGCTGATGGGCATGGTACAGGAACCTGAATAGAAAAAAAAGATTGCCTTTTGGCCTGGTCTTGGTGCCATGGTTGTTCACACAATGCTTGGGAGTACTGAGTGGCTAACTACGTAGGAGTATGGTGTTAGTGTACCTGGACAATTGGCTCATTAAGGACAATATTTTGTAAAAGATCCAAAGATTAGTCATGCAGGTTCTGGGTTCATTAGGGTTCTCAAGAAAAAAATACCCAGAATACCAGCCTCTCTACAGCTAGAGAACATCAATAAAATGTTAACAAATTCCTATGCAAGTTATTAGCCTTACCATTGTATTTCCTGCCCTGAACATAGGGAACATTGCAAATAACCTTAGTTGCAAAAACAACAACATTCAGATTTTAATAGTAACTATGTTAGGAGATCTGTTAGATATCTTGACTCAGACAGGATCCAGGACATGTTGAGTTTAGCCAAAATAATTTGCCAGAGCTAGAAGCTTTTGTCAGAAGCCAAGTTATCAGCATAGGTAGTGATGACCACATCTGTATTCTTAGTACCTATGGCCTGGTGCCGCCTGAGCAACCTCTGTGGTCACGTGGCATCCAAAGACTTGCTTATTGCATCTGGCTGAGGGAGAACATCCCAACCACCACTGTTCGATGGAAGTCCAGTGATAACCTGCAATTATAAATAGTCCTCCAAACTTCCTTTACAATGAAAAAGTAACCATATAAGCAATCCCACTCCCCTGGGATGAGGCGCTCACAAGAAGAGGCTGAAATACACAGGCCTCTTGGTAGGGAGCCCAAAGGAGTGGTTCTTGGATCAGGGAGTATCAGAGTGTATCAAATATCCTTTTAGGCCATGTATATGAACTATACATGAACTATAGCAGCATAGCTATGGTGCTATAGCTATGTCAGCATAACCTCGTAATGTAGATGCAGATGTCAGAGATGGAGAGGTTTTTCCGTCATTGTAGGAACTCCACCTCCCTTAGCAGTGGTAACTAGATTGATGGAAGCATTGTTCTGTCGACCGAACTGCAACTACGATGGGTGTTAGGTAGACATAGCTACAGCACTCAGGATTATGCCTTTTTCACCCCCTGAGAGACGTAGCTATGTTGACCTAAATTTTAAGTGTCGACAAGGCTGTTAAAAGGTGCAGGGTGCTAGGCATTTAGGAGTTGTCACTATTATATATTTTGGTGAAATCATATTCCTGCTCTGCAAATAATTGAGAAAATAAATGTGGTTTTGGCAGATTAATAATTCCTCATTGCAGTGTTTGATCCATGTTTTATAGAAGTTTGCATGTGATTCTTGGAACTGAGACTGGGTTTTAAAAATTTAATATTTAAGTTGAGTGGGTTGAATATTGGTTTTGAGGAGATTACAAACATCAAAACAGACACTAGAGAATTCATCAGGGGCACAATGAGTGGGAAGAAAGTACAAGTACACATGAGGTCACTGTGATCTAGTGGATTAAGCATTTCACCAGGAGTCAGGAGACCTGGGTTCTGTTTCCGACTCTGCCTCTGGTTTGCTGGGTGACCTTAGGCAAGTCACTGCACCTCTTTGCCTCAGTAGCCCATCTGTAAAATCGGGATAATGATACTGACCTCTTTGTAAAGTGCGTTGAGATCTACTGATGGAAGAATTATTACATCTTCCCGAAGTGAGCAGTGAACTACAGAATAACTGCTGGTGATATTTTTTTGTGTCTGGCATAGTAAAACCAAAACACCTTATCCTTTAGTGCTGCTTACATATAGGTGGTGTCCAAGTGCTGCCTTTTCTATTTGAAATTTATAGGTCCAGAGAAAGTTCCTTCTTTGTAGGATTCACTTCTACATAGAATAGACAAGACCCTTTGTCCCCTGCATGGCTCAAAACCATGGGTTTTCCAGTTTCTCTTAAATGACTGGAGGCAGGTGGAACCTTTTGTCCTGTCTGGGGCATAGGTCTACCCTCTCTGCTTTTCCCAGATTTATATTACATGTAAGACTTATTTTTTATGGGATTTATTAATTTCATTTTGTCGGTTTATTTTTAGCAATTTTTGAGTTTTTTGCAGATTCATAGATTCATAGATTCTAGGACTGGAAGGGACCTCGAGAGGTCATCGAGTCCAGTCCCCTGCCCGCATGGCAGGACCAAATACTGTCTATGACAAGATGACAAGAAAATCAGAGGTTTGGGGGGCTTTTGTAAATGGCTTTTATATATACTGTAATTAATAATATATATTGTATGCATTACTCATTGCAGTAGTATTTATTCTGATTAATCTCTTTTGTAATGTTTCAAACAGCACTAGGTTAAAGTGCAATAGGGAACCTTTCGTACACATGGGCAGGATCTGCACAAACCAGATATGTTCAACACTTTGCTGCCCCAATAATTGGCCGTGGGGCAGGGGCACAGAACATGCCCCTCCAAAAGCAATGAAGTTTAAATTCCTGTGCATGCCCCTGAAGCCCTTAGGTACAAGTAACCATTTCTGGGGTATTTTCTGATGTTTTATTGGTTAAACATTGATTTCTTTTTGTATTGGTGTGTTTTATCGATGTTTATCGAATAACACCTAAGATCAGAAGCCCTAATTATATGCTTCCAAAAAAGTGCAAATGGCAGGCTGCAGACCTTCATTGGTGACATTTTTTGGACATCTTGACTCTTCCTTTTTTCCCCCTCAGCCAGTTTAATTTGAAATGTAAATGCCCTGAAAGGGAACCAGCAAATTTGGTTTTGGAGTGTTGAACTCAAGGTTTTCCTCAGGCACTCTCCTGTCCCCAGTCTCCTGCCTGGCAGGGAAGGAGAAGTGGAAGGCCAAGGTCAGGAAATGTGCTGTGGACTTAGAGGCAGAGAGGGTTTGGCTTGTCCTGCCTGTAGACTTCCACAGTTTGTCAGATGAAGTTTGTTCATAACAATACTTATTGCTCATTCTCCCATTGCCCTCTAGGATCTCTGTGATTCTTCTTCTCTTCTGATAGGAAAGCACTGTCCAGGAAAGTTCTGTCTTTTATTTGAAAATCAGTACTACATTAGGGGCTAATACAAAGCCTGTTGACTTCAGTGGACTTTGGATCACAACCACAATTTCTCTGCAGTCTTTTGATATCTCATCAGTTGGCAAACAGTTTTCAGAAATAATTGTTAGTGAAACAGTTAGCTAATTTTCTTAATTTTTTAGAATATGTATCATCTGGACCAGCTGCTTTGCTTGTTCTTTATCAATACTTAATTGTACAGGTTTTCCTTTAAAATAACACAATACTATGTTGCTTTTTTATTTAAAGTTGAAAAGTTGATTAATAATTGAGATTTTTGTTGTGTGCAGCTTACAAGTAAATTTGATGCTCTAGTTTCAGGAAACAATGTATTTTACAATATTCATAGAATCATAGAACATCAGGGTTGGGAGGGACCTCTGGAGATCATCTAGTCCAACCCCCTGCTCAAAGCAGGACCAGTCCCCAACTAAATCATCCCAGCCAGGGACCTTAAAAACCTCTAAGGAAGGAGATTCCACCACCTCCTGAGGTAACCCATTCCAGTGCTTCACCACCGTTCTAGTGAAAAAGTTTTTCCTAATATCCAACCTAAACCTCTCCCGCTGCAACTTGAGACCATTATTCTTCTGCTTGGTTTTCTTTAATGCTTATAACTTTATACTACTGCCTTGAGTTTACAACCAACAGATTTAGTTGTTGTAAATCAGCGCAGAAAATGTTTCAGCAGTTTGTTTTGGGTCTGATACCTCAGTGTTTCACCTTTTTTGCTTAATGTATAAATGCTTTGCCTGGAAGTTAAGGTAAATCGGGATTGCAGTTTAACTACACATTATCTTTTCCTGGATTGCACTCATTAATGTTTAATTTAACATATATAGAATGCTTCAAGCTAGAGTCTAAAAATATGGTTACATGGTAAATATTTCACTTGCTAACTGTTAAGGACAGATGGGTCAGTAATCAAACCTTTATTTCCCCTCTCTGCCCTCCCTCCTGTATTTCAGTTCTGTTACAACTGGCTAGTGATGCTTTACCAAATGATATGACCTTATCCCTTGCCTACCTACTTGCATTACCACAGGTAAGTTTACCTTTGTGTGTGTGTGTGTGTGTGTGTGTGTGTGTGTGCGCGCGCATGTTAGCCTCTTATATATTTGCTTGCTTATAATTTTGGAAACCTGTTTCTTTGGGTTTAAAATTCATATCCTTGATCTCCACAAAATCCAGCTTTGGGCGGATAACGTTGAAGAAAATCTGAACAGATGTTACTGAACTGTTGTGTCATGAGTGGTGGTGGGAGCCATACATCCTGATATTAAAATTAACTTGTCGAGTCTTTTTGCACAATAACTCAAATGCGGCTGACAAATTTGGAAGGTAGCATTTTAATAAAGAGGGATAAGAATTGTATTTAATGTAGCTGAGTGATATTTTGTGGTATCCTCAAGACAGGAGCTAGTGTAATACAGGTGGTCTTTTGTTATGTATTTTGATGCAGTTATGTCCATTTTTGCTCTGTATTCAATCCCCTTTCGGGGGAGGGGGGGAATGCATGTAGCCAGTTCTACTTCTAAACCATGGTTCAAGACTAGCTTCTAGAAAGCTTGTGCACTTACAATTATAAACTTGTGAATTCTTTCATCTAAGTTAATGTCCTTTTTCTCCTAGGTGGTAGATGCCAACAAGTGCTTTGAAAAGCAATCACATTCTGCTTTATCTCTCCAGCTGGCAAGTTATTACTATAGCCTGCAGATCTATGCTCATTTGGCACCATGTTTCAAGGACAAATGCCATCCCCTCTACAGGGTTAGTTCTCTTTTTTTCCCCATATTCATTAATATTCAATATAAAATCTATTCTAAAAAGCCTGCATTAAGGTTAAGGAGCAGCTCTGACTTGCACTTTGGACAGTCAGCCAGGTTGTATATAATTATTTCTTCTACTGTTCTGTAATCAGAGAAGTACTTAACATGTGTTTCAAAAAAGTATAGTACATGTTTTTGATATTTTAAGCTATTTAGGATTTGTATACAGTAACACTGTCCATTTCCAAAGCACTTTACAAACATTCATCATATACTGAATAGGTCATCTGCCAGCATGTATATTACACTTCTGCGGAAGACTAAACTGTCTAAACAAGAACTGTGTTGTTCCAAAAGGTTTCTTTTGCGTGTTTTGAGACAGTGTATTGTTGCACTGTACCTTAGGTCAAAAATACTGCATTGCAAATTGATTACCAAATGATAATTATTCACTGATTTGATTTGACCAATTTTTTTCTGTTATACAGATTCTCTCCTTATTCATCACTAATAGTTAATGTCCCCACCTATGGAATTTTGGAGGTGGTCCAGTGTTGTTTCTTGGAGGCTTAGGGACTAAACCTAACCCTTCATCTCAGGCCACTAGATGTTCTGCCTCCAGCAGCTGAACAAGTAGATGGTTCAGTTTCTCCTGACCATTTTCTCTTACCATTTTTAATTTGTATTTGTTTTATTGGAATAGAGACTTACAATATTTCTTACTTCTCTTCCCCAAGATCAGGTATCTGGCAGAGTGGTGGGTTCAATCACCTGGTTCTGCAGCTAGCAGTACCTCCTTTCTGGGACTCCTCTGCCTCCATATACTCATGGCAGAGCTGTCCAGCCAGCATAAGGAGAAGCAGTGAGGCAGCTCTAGAGAGGGCAAATTAAACTCTGCCTGTTCATAGTTAAGGCTACGGTTTTGTCACAGAGGTCGCAGAAGTTACAGAATCCGTGACTTCCAAAGACCTCCATGACTTCAGCCCCGGCTAGCTGGGAGCTGCGGGATCCTGCCACCTCCTGCACGGGCAGGGAGTGGTAGTGTACCCCTGCTGCCTGAGGCAGCAGCCCCCCCACGCTCTCAGCCGCAGTGGAGGTACCCCGCAGCTCCCAGACACTGCCGGCAGGGGGACCCCGCCAGCTCCCCACCCGCCACCGCCATGGGGCAGAGGTACTTAATGATTTTTTTGCCTCCGTCTTCACGAACAAGGTCACTGGGCAGCACAGTATGGGGAGAAGGTGACCAGCCCTCTGTGGAGAAAGAAGTGGTTCGGGACTATTTAGAAAAACTGGACGAGCACAAGTCCATGGGGCCGGATGCACTGCATCCGAGGGTGCTGAGGGAATTGGATGATGTGATTGCAGAGCCATTGGCCATTATCTTTGAAAACTCATGGCGATTGGGGGAGGTCCCGGATGACTGGAAAAAGGCTAATGTAGTGCCCATCTTTAAAAAAGGGAGGAAGGAGGGGGAACTATAGGCCAGTCATCCTCATCTCAGTCCCTGGAAAAATCATGGAGCAGGTCCTCAAGGAATCAATTCTGAAGCACTTGGAGGAGAGGAAAGTGATCATGAACAGTCAGCCTGGATTCACCTAATTGCCTTCTGTGAGGAGATAACTGGGTCTGTGGATGAGGGGAAAGCAGTGGATATGTTATTCCTGGAATTTAGCAAAGCTTTTGATACGGTCTCCCACAGTATTCTTGCTAGCAAGTTAAAGATGTATGGGCTGGATGAATGGACTATAAGGTGGATAGAAAGCTGGCTAGATTGTCGGGCTCAACGGGTAGTGATCAACGGCTCCATGTCTAGTTGGCAGACAGTTTCAAGTGGAGTGCCCCAAGGGTCGGTGCTGGGGCCGGTTTTGTTCAGTATCTTCATTAATGATCTGGAGAATGGCGTGGACTGCACTCTCATCAAGTTTGCAGAAGACACTAAACTGGGAAGAGTGGTAGATATGCTGGAGGGTAGGGATAGGATACAGAGGGACCGAGACAAATTAGAGGATTGGGCCAAAAGAAAACAAGGACAAGTGCAGAGTCCTGCACTTAGGACGGAAGAATCCCATTCACAGTTACAGACTAGGGACGGAGTGGCTAGGCAGCAGTACTGCAGAAAAGGACCTAGGGGTTACAGTGGATGAGAAGCTGGATATGGGTCAACAGTGTGCCCTTGTTGCCAAAAAGGCTAACGGCATTTTGGGCTGTATAAGTAGAGGCATTGCCAGCAGACCAAGGGACGTGATCGTTCCCCTCTATTCGACATTGGTGAGGCCTCATCTGGAGTACTGTGTCCAGTTTTGGGCTCCACACTACAAGAAGGATGTGGAAAAATTGGAAAGAGTCCAACAAAAATGATTAGGGGGCTGGAGCAGATGATTTATGAGGAGTGGCTGAGGGAACTGGGATTGTTTAGTCTGCAGAAGAGAAGAACGAGGGGGGATTTGATAGCTGCTTTCAACTACCTGAAAGGGGGTTCCAAAGAGGATGGATCTAGACTGTTCTCAGTGGTACCAGATGACAGAACAAGGAGTAATGGTCTGAAGTTAGAGTTGGGGAGGTTTAGGTTGGATATTAGGAAAAACTTTTTCACTAGGAGGGTAGTGAAGCACTGGACTGGGTTACCTAGGGAGGTGGTGGAATCTCCTTCCTTAGAAGTTTTTAAGGTCAGGCTTGACAAAGCCCTGGCTGGGATGATTTAGTTGGGATTAGGTCCTGCTTTGAGCAGGGGGTTGGACTAGATGACCTCTTGAGGTCCCTTCCAACCCTGTTATTCTATGATTCTATGACCCCTGGCCACTCCTCGCCTGCCGCTACCACGGGGCAGGAGGACCCCGGCATTGTTCCCTGCCACTGGGGAGAGGACGGGGGATCCCAGCAGCACTCCCTGCCGCTGCGTGGGGGGACGACAGGGGGACCCTGGAGTTCTGAGCCCCCATGGGCAGAGTCGGACCTGCATGTTGGGTTGCCCCATCTCGTCCCAGAAACCAACTCTATGCATAAGAGCTTGATCAGGAGATTCTGAACATTTTGAAGAGGGAATCTATGGACAAGATGCTATCTGACCAGATCAGGGAGTTAGTCCTGCAAAAGACTCTGCTTCAGTGTCGGGAAGGGGCTTTGCATCCCTTTCCCCTGAGGCCTGAGATGCCTCAGCCCTCACTGTCCAAACCATTGGTCACTATCAACACCAAGGGTATTCGCAAGGGACTGTTCACCTAGGAGAGCAAAAATCTGGAACAGAAGCGTCCACGGGATCCTAGATACATTTTCCTCCAAACAAAGAAAATCCTCAAAATGATAAAGGCAAAATGAGCATGTGTACACGAGAATTCACAATTTCTCTACAAGACTCTTTCTTCTGATCTACTCCCCGCAACTAGAGTCTTAAAAAATGGCTGGTAGTCACAATGAAGCACAGGTTGTAAATTACACACCTAGACAACATACCATAGTTTGTTCTGTCCAGAAAAGCAAACTTATTCCCAACTGGACAGCTGCTGGGAAGAATCCATAGCCACCAGTTGTTCAAAATCAGGAAGAACTTTCTGAACTGAATGCCAAGAATTGCTCACCCAGGAATCAAAACAGACATGGTTGGTCATAATGTTACCAACATGGTAAAATTTACAAAAGTCCTAAACTTTACTTCATCAGTCATTTCCTGGCAGTGATTATTTATAACCAAGTAGCTCCACTAGCTATGATTGCTGATTCCATGCATTAGCTTTTACCCCTGACTGGGTTTCTCAGGATGTGCCTGCAAAAATTCTTTCTGAGAACCTAGAACTACTCACCTGATGCAATACAAATTTAGGTGTCATTCTTTGATCACTCCCAAATGTCTTGTCATGGGCAGGGAAGTACAAAACATATGCTGAACACACCCAATTTTCACTCTAGACTCTGGAAGCAAGCCTTTCAGGGTGAGATGCATACTTGAAAGGCAGTCTTTCAAAATGTCAAAGTTCACATTGTTTTAGTTCACTTAACATCTTTGTCAGTGATGGGTTTTAATAAAAATATTGGTCCCATTCCATATTGCCGTACCTATGTTCACACCTAATTTAGTATCCTTTCTAGGGCAGCGGCCAGTTCTAGCTGCTTCAGAAGAAGGTGCAAGTAACCAGGTAGGGGGTAGTTTTGGTGCTCACAGAGAAAGTCTGCTCCTACTTCCCTTTAGAGGTGGTTTCTGGTTTAAAACCCTTCCAAAACCAGGGAGTAACTAGAGATCAAAGCTTCTCCACGGTAGTGAAATAATATCCGGGGCAGAGAAGAATTTACTACCTTTCAAAACAGTTCAAATAAAGGATACAGAAAAGAGGAAAAGAAAGAGTTGAAGTCCTCTTAATCTTCGACTGGCCCAAAGGGCTCTTTGGACTTGTTAGATATTCCAGAAACTCACATTGCACCTGCAGCAATTACTAGACCTCTCAAAGCAGGGACACCTTCATCTGGATCTAGAAATCAGACAATTAACAGCCTGGGCATCAAAAGAGAAGTAAAGTTCAGCAAGGATTCTCCATTAGTCCCTCATGCATCTTGGAATCCAAGCAGAACTCTCAAGGAAATTTTATTCATTGATCTGGTCAATTTACTTTTCTAGTGTGAGGGGAAACATAAAGCTCTTTGGGGGAAAGGACTTTTTGTGCAGTATCTGCAGAATGGGATCCTGACTTCCAGGTAGTGTTATATTATAAATAGAATAATAATCACAAAGGTCTGGTGATCTCAGCTGTTAGGGGGCTTATTCCTTCACCCTCTTATTTCCCTGGTGGTTCTTGCATAAACAGAGAGCAATACCTGAAGTCCGAAGGTGCAAACAATTCAATGTTTATTGGGGTGAACTTCCAGCAAGCATGATTCCAGTTTCCTTCCTCAGTGTCCCCCTTCCCAGCTCTGACAGCACAAAGCATTGCCTGTGTCCCTGTTCCCATTCCCACCCCTTTGCGAAACATGATTCCAATTCTCCCACCCCCATTCCCTGTTCCCATTTCCCCC